ACACTCACATCCCCTAATTCTGCTGATGTTACCCAGCCAGGTAACAAAATGTTCGGAAACCAACCCACAAACATCAAGAATGAACCTTCACCTACATCCTATACCCCAAGCTACAGATATTCGCCACTATTGCATATCTAAGCTTATTATAAAAACCCTTTTCATCAGCTGGCTCTGGGCTTCTCACTGTCTAGTAGTCATGTTTTTTTAAAAAAAAGTATTTAAACTACATAGGTCTTGTGTATTTATCTTCCTAGCTACGTTTTATTACTCCTTTCCAATCAAGAAACTGTTGACACCGTGTTTTCCGAGTCTAGTATCTACAATTTGACGTCATTACAGCTGTCGCGGTGGCCTTCCATACCCAAGCACCTGGTTATTATGGTGATTTCTGCAAATAAAATAAGATCACACCGTTTCACATGAGCGTAAACATGCCCTCAAGGGTCAGAAGTTACATAACCGTGATTTATTTATTTATTTATTTATTTATTTATTTATTTATTTATTTATTTATTTATTTATTTATTTATTTATCAAATTTCTATACCGCCCTACTCCCGGAGGACTCAGGGCGGTGAACAGCCAAGACAAAATACAGATAATACAAACGTTAAAAGTCCATTAAAATTATTAAATATTTTGGCCGAAAAACAAATGTAAAACACCCAATTTATAAAACAAATTAAACGATTTAAAAATTTAAAAGGGAGAGTTAGTTTTGAATATGTTCCTGGGGAATAATAATAATACTGGATCATAATATGGCAGATGTAATGTGGAAAGAGTAATAGAAACCATGTTTTAAAAAAATAGCCCAAGTTTGCTGGGCTATTGTGATCGTTGGGATTCTTCTTTGATCTAAACAAATGTAACCATGGATGTCTTAGTCGTTTTTAATTATGACTATGGCCAACCATCCTCAACATAGGTGGCCTGTTGGCCGCCAGCCCCTCCAGCAGCCGAATCAGTGTGGGAGTCGGGGTCAGCATCAAGGCAACCTGAGAGCTCCAAGGGGGGAGAGAAAATGGAGCTGGCAGAGAGAGAGAGAGACAGAGGCGGAGCCTGGGCCATCCGTTAGCCCTCAGATGGAGGGTCAACAGCCCCCAGGTCTGGAGGTGGCTGATGAGGAAGAGGAGGAACAGCTGGGTCCAGTGCCTGACGCATAGATGCACAGAAAGCAGAGGAGAGGAGAGCAGTGGAAATCTATGGGCCGGTCCTTGGGACGGAAGAGCCACTGCTGCTAGCGAAGCCCCACCCTAGCTCTGGGGAATAAAAGGCAGGGGGAGGAGATGAATAGATGTGGCAAGCAACTATTCATCTCCCTGCCGGACAGACTTGTTAGCCTGAGATGAAAGAGAAACTTTTTGCCATGGCTGCTGGCATGCCTAATAGAGGAATTATTGCTTCAACTACCGAGGGCTTGTCGTGTTTGGAAAGCTGGGTCGAGACAGTAGGAAGTTAGCTATAGTTTCCTTACCTTAATATGGAATTATTTTATACCTGATTAACACAAGACCAGTTAACACGTTTATCTTCTGACACCGGCACATTCTAGGAGTGATGCAGTTGGACAAATGAAAAACCTATTTTACAACATTTCTGCGGGCACATGAGCCGTCGCCCTAGGTCAGCTCCACCGCACATGCGCACACACCTCCCGCCGGCCAGCTAATTTTTGGGTTTCTACCGATGTATGCGGGAGATGTGCGCACATGCCCATGCCTTCCTTCCCCTCCCAGGAGTCTCCATGCAGCCCGTTTTGGATGCCATGTAAGTACAGGGCTCGCATGGAGGCTCTGGGAGGGTGAAAAACAGGCCTACCGGAAGTCCGGAAATGGACCGTTTCTGTCCTCCGGAGGGCTGGGGGAGGCCGTTTTCATCCTCCTGGAGGCTCCAGAAAAACTTCCAGAGCCTCTGGAGCCTGGGGAGGGCAAACAATGGGCTTACTAGAAGTCTGGAAATGGGCCATTTCCCACCTCCGGAGGCTTCAGGGAGGCCTGCTAGGCCCAAAAGGCGGCTTGGGGGGGTCGCGCCTGCATGCGTGAGGGGGTGAGGGAGCATAGGGGTTGCGCGCACTTGTGCAGGGGGGCCAGGCGTGCATGAGGGGGCATTGTATTATGGGTGTAAGCACGCATGCACGATAGCGCATGTGCGCACATTTTTGGCACCCGAGGAAAAAAAGATTAGCCATCACTGTCCTAGATAATCCTGAGCTGCTGCTAGTTTGGAAAGTTGAAAAAAAAAATTCCCAGAAAGCAATGGCAAACCACATCTGTATCATTGCCAAAAAAATGTCATGGCTGCAGCCATCGACATCAAGTTCCACTTTATCTTTGAGGATGATTAATGATGATTTCGCCTGTAGGAGTTTCGAGCTCAGAATAATCAATATATTTTGGAAAAGTGTGAGTATTTACCCATGTAGTAGACTGTATGGCTGTTATCTTTCTTATCTTCTCATCTTCTCATTTCTCTTCTCATCTTTCCTACTATCTTTTCCGATTGGCATTCTTATGGTTTATCACTTGTTGTTTGTATTTTAGGATTAATGTTTGTAACTATGATTTATGATCTATGATCTATCACTCTGCTGTTTGTACGTATACTGAAGAGTTTCTGCAGCAGAGACCAATTCCTTGTGTATCCAATCACATTTACCCAATAAAGAATTCTATTCTATTCTGTTCTATTTTGTTTTTGTTTTTCTCTCTATTCTCTATTCTCTATTCTAGTCTAGTCTAGTCTTAATCCTAATCCTAATCCTAATCCTAATCCTAATCCTAATCCTAATCCTAATCTGTTCTGTTCTGTTCTGTCCTGTCCTGTTCTGTTCTGTTCTGTTCATTCCATTCCATTCCATTCCATTCTATTATTTCAATTTCAATTTCAATTTCAATTTCTATTTCTATTTCTATTTCTATTTCTGTTTCTATTCCACTCCACTCCACTCCATTCCATTCCTTTCCATTGTATTCTATTCATTATATTCTCTATCCTAATCTACTCTACTCTACTCTACTCTACTCTACTCTACTCTACTCTACTCTACTCTACTCTACTCTTCTATTGCATTGCATTGCATTGCATTGCATTGCATTCCTTTCCTTTCCATTCCATTCCACTGTATTCTAGTCATTATATTCTCTATCCTACTCTACTCTACTCTATATTCTATTGCATCCTATTGCATTGCATTGCATTCCATTCCATTCCATTCCACTGTATTCTATTCCATTATATTCTCTACTCTACTCTACTCTACCCTACCCTACCCTACCCTACCCTACCCTACCCTATATTCTATTGCATTCAATTCCATTCCAGGTCTGAGCAGAAATTTCTGAGGCCAACCATAATCTCTAGAGACTGAGGCAGAACCCAGCTTTGCTATCTCTTTCCCTTATGACAACAAGGAGTTGATGTTTAACAAACATTACTTACTACAGGGGAGGAAAAAGAAAGAAAGAAAGAAATCCATGATCAAATACTGATCTGAAAACTACCCTAAAATTATATGTTTCAACCATCGTGACTGTAATTAAAGCCTGTTAAATTTCTGATATTCTAATATTCATTAAATATTATAGTTTATGGCAGGAGATTAGGGTTATAAACCTACTCTATTTGTAATCATAATTGTTAAATAATAAGTACTGTTTGACATCATAACATCTGAATGATAAGAACAGGCAGGTTTAAGATTATGAACTCCTTTCTAGTTTACTCTAATGAATTCCCTCATTAAGCCATATCTCTTATAGACATATTTTCTTTTGACGCCTTCCAGCTCAGCTAATGGAAGGTAATTTGCAAAATACAGTCATATAACTATATAAGATCAATAAGTTATCGGTCGCATGTAATAAAGCAGCCAGAGGAACTGCATTTAAATAATTTTCAGCCAAACATCTTTCTGAGCAGCAATGTTTTAATCAAACTCTAGAAAAATAAAATCTTGGTATTTTTAATTATTATTATTATATATATTATTATATTTTTTTCTTTCCTTTTCGTAGGCCTTTATGTGTATTTCTCTTTAGCCACGTTCTTCTTACGTAAACCAAGATTTTTATGCAGCCTTAGTTCAGTGAAATCCCAATCCACTAGTTTCTAGGCTTTTTTTTTTTCTGGCAGCCAGCAAACAGCCAGCCTAGTCAGCAGAGTGTTTGCTGTCCATAGGAGGAAGAGGAGGAGGAGGAGGAGGAGGAGGAGGAGGAGGAGGAGGAGGAGGAGGAGAAGGAGAAGAGAAGAGGAGGAGGAGGAGGAGGAGGAGGAAGAAGAAGAAGAAGGAAGAAAGGAGGAGAAGAAGGAGAAGGAGAAGGTGAAGGAGAAGGAGGAGGAGGAGGAGGAGGAGGAGAAGAGGAGGAAGAAGAAGAGGAAGAAGAATAGGAAGAAGAAGAAGAAGAAGAAGAAGAAGAAGAAGAAGAAGAAGAAGAAGAAGAAGAAGAAGAAGAGGAGGAGAGGAGGAGGAGGAGGAGGAGGAGGAGGAGGAGGAGGAGGAGGAGGAAGAGGAGGAGGAGGAAGGAGGAGGAGGAGGAGGAGGAGGGAGAAGGAAGAAGGGAGGAGAAGAAGGAGAAGGAGGATAAGGAGAAGGAGGAAGTGGAGGAGAAGAAGAAGAAGAGGAAGAGAGAAGAGGAGGAATAGGAAGAGGAAGAGGAAGAGGAAGAGAAGAAGAAGAGGAAGAGGAAGAGGAAGAGGAAGAAGAAGAAGAAGAAATTGTTTCTTGGATGAGAAGTGAAACACCTTCAAAAAAAACCCCAAGAAAGTCCAGTTGCCTCTTGAAAAAGCGCCTTTGGGACAACCATGACTTGGATGATTGAGAATCTCCATAGACACATGGGCCTTTTTCTTTTTAAAAATTATATAAAACAAATTAGGGTCTTTATTTGATCACCAGCTGAAGACAGATGTAAACAAGGAAGTCCTCTATGCACCCAAATTGAGGAATAAGCAAGGAAGGGAGGGGCTTAGAAGAACGGTCTCATTCAAAAGTGGTTGAACTCATGGCAGCAGATCCTTTTTAATAATCACACGCTGTAAAGTAAATTAGAAACACGTTCAAAATGGCTTGCAAAAAAACATCTTCTTACTCATCCCCACCACTTTACTTCCTCTTGATTTTGAAGGCTGTTGACTTCTTGTAGAGTCATGCGTGCTTCCTCACCAGGCTCTCCAAATAAATCCAAAGACAAAAAGGGGACTATTTTGCGACCCTCTTTGGGAAAGGAAGTTTGTTTTCCCTTCTGAAGACAACTCTTCCGCGCGTTTCAGCTTCTTGAACAAGAATGTTGGGGGTCTACGGAATCCTCCTCAAAGCCATTTGGGCCAGGAGATGCTCCGTGTTCTGCTGATCTCCTCTGATTTGGCTCTTCATCTCTAGGAAGAGGTCCTCCTTCGGCCACTGCTGAATTATCCGGATGAGTGACCGCTGCACAACACAACCAAAGAGGAATGAAATGAATTCTTTATTGTGGATGGAAAAGCTGTACAGGAAGTCCTTGACTTACATTCGTTTATTCACCGTTCAAAGTTATGATGGCATCGAAAAGATACTCCGGGACTTAAGTTTTTAACACTTACAACTGTTACAGCATCCCCCTGGTTATATAATCAAAAGTTGGATCCCTCGCAACCGATTCAGATTTATGAGGGTCAAAGAGCTGTACGCCACGAAATTTCGTTTTAATACATGCCGATCAGGGCACATTCAAAGTGACAATAAAATTATTCTAAAGTTCTAACCGAGCAGGCTGTGAAATGTGAGATCAGCTTTAAAGAAAGTGAGCTCCTGTTGACATCGATTTCCAGTGTAATCTTTAATCATATCTGGTTGTTTTGCCTTATGAAGCCTTACAAATCAAGTTTGTGGGTGGATGGATGGATGGATGGATGGATGGATGGATGGATGGATGGATTGGATGGATTGGATTGGATTGGATTGGATTGGATTGGACTGGACTGGACTGGACTGGACTGGATTGGATTGGATTGGATTGGATTGGATGGATGGATGGATGGATGGATTGGATGAATTGATGGATTGATGGATGGATTGGATGGATTGGATTGGATTGGATTGGATTGGATTGGATTGGATTGGATTGGATTGGATTGGATGGATGAATGGATGGATTGATGGATTGGATGAATTGATGGATTGATGGATGGATGGATGGATGGATGGATGGATGGATGGATGGATGGATTGGATTGGATTGGATGGATGAATGGATGAATGGATTAATGGATGGATGGATGGATGGATGGATTGATGAATTGGATGGATGGATGGATTGATGAATTGGATGGATGGATGGATGGATGGATGGATGGATTGATGGATTGGATGAATTGATGGATTGATGGATTGATGGATGGATGGACTGATGGATTGATGGATGGATGGACTGATGGATTGATGGATTGGCGTTTTGTTTGTTTGTGAATTTTCTATCCTGTCCTTCTACAAGCCTCCCCGACCACAACTTGATCAACCACAGAATCACGCACCGTGTTAAATTTCAGATGTGCAACGGGGAGCAATTAAAGATCGGGTCTGCTAACATTTCACAGCTCTCGGGAATGAATTATCTCCGTCTTCCTTCAGAAGAGATAACTTTAACCTTACGGCTGTCAAGTTATCAGCTCAACCCCGTGGTGATTCAGGTGCTCTCCAAAGGTGAAAGGACAAAGAGGGGGGGGGGAGGAAAAAAAACCCTGTAAAGCAAATTATCTCGTCTCGCTACCCATTAGCTGGCCTTGTTAATGATCTACTATTAATCTCCCTCGTTTTTTAACCTAATGGAATGCTTGAGTCTGCGAGTGCCTTAACAAAACAGGCTCAAACCAGTTGGTGATATCCTCGTGTCTTCAATGAACAGAGAACTTTTAATAATCAGGGCTGTTACAGATTAACAGAGTTGGAAGGGACCCTGTAGGTCATCTAGTCCAACCCCACCCCTCATCTCCCGCCCAAGCAGGAGACCCTGCCTACACCATTTCTGACAAATGGCAGTCCGATCCCCTCTTGAAATTCTCAAGTGATGAAGCTCCCACAACTTCCAGAGTCTTCTTTCATTCCAACCAGGGGTGGGTTCTAAAATTTTTTACTACCGGTTCTGTGGGTCGGTGTGGTTTGATGGTCATGTGACAATTCTTTAGGATTTAGCAGAGGTACTGGTCTACCAGGCTTTTAACTGCTTGCAGAGCTGTATTGGTCTACTCATTTGTTCTTGGAGTGTTCTGGTCTACCCATTTATTTTTGGAGGCACCGGTCTACCCATTTGTTCTTGGAGGCACTGGTCTACCTATTTCTTTTTCGAGCGCACTGGTCTACCACCACACTGCCTTTTAACACTGATCAGCTGTAGGGCGGCCTTTTGAAGCCCCGCGGCAAGAGTTTAAACAGTTTTTTTCCTTCTGGCCAATCAGCTGGGACTCGGGAGGCAGCAAATAGATTGGGGGCGGGGCCAAATAAAAGGTAAGAATAACACGGGGGGGTGGCGGGAGGGCCCAGCTCCCGAACAAAGAGAACCAGTTCAGTGACGTCATATCATCACCGCTACCGGTTCGGCCAAACCGGGCCGAACTGGGAGGAACCCACCACTGATTCCAACCATCCTTTCAAGAGAGACAGATAGAGAGGGCTGGAAAACACCGTGAAGCGGTATATAAGTTTAAATACTATTGCTCTTTCTATTGTAAATAGTTACCTGCAAGAGACCAGAAACGCCAAAGGATGAAAGCAACCAACAAATAGGGAGCTAAGCAGCCCAAATAATAGATCTGCAACAAAGCAGAAGTTGGTATTAGAGCCACAAAATCTCCAGCATTTACTCAAAAGGGCAACGGATGAGTACTCACCGGATTGGAATGGAAAATGTTGTCGGACAAAATCCTCAGCCGTAGATAAAGCAAGGCCAACATGCATGGGCTGACAGAGTCTTGATTGCTGTAATTCCAGCATCTGTGGAAGAACATTATGTAACGTATTTTTTTTTTAAAGTTCAATAATTTGTAAGATTTAGGCCTTGTAGAATTCTTTATGGGCCAAGTGTGATTGGACACACACACAAGGAATTTGTCTCCGGTGTAGAAGCTCTCAGTGTACGTGCAAGCAACAAAGGATAAATCACGAACATAACAATAAAAGACAATCATCGTAAGTCATAAGATGCAACATTCAGTCAGAGGATAGGATACTAAATAGGGAAGGAAGGGAAGGAGAGGAGAGAGAGGAGAGAAATATGGAAGGAAGAAGAATGGAAAGAGAGAAGGGAAGGGAAGAGAAGACACAAAGAGAAGAGAAGAGTGGAGTAGAGTAGAGTAGGGGAGGGGAGGGAAGGGGAGAGAAGAGAGGAGAGAAGAAGAGAAGAGAGAGAAGAGAAGAGAGAAGAGAAGAGAAGAGAAGAGAAGAGAAGAGAAGAGAGAAATGAATGGAAGGGAAGGGAAGGGAAGGGGAGGGGAGGGGAGGGGAGGGGAGAGGAGAGGAGAAGAGAAGAGAAGAGAAGAGAAGAGAAGAGAAGAGAAGAGAAGAGAAGAGAAGAGAAGAGAAGAGAGAAATGAAGGGAAGGGAAGGAAGGGGAGGGGAGGGGAGGGGGGGAGGGGAGGGGAGAAGAGAAGAGAAGAGAAGAGAAGAGAAGAGAAGAGAAGAGAAGAGAAGAGAGAAATGAATGGAAGGGAAGGAAAGAATGTAGCAAGAGAAGAAGGAAGGAAGAGAAGAGACAAAGAGGAGAAGAGAGGAGAGGAGACAAAAGAAGAGACAAAGAGAGGAGAGAAAGAAAAAGAAAAAAACAAGTATCTTCCCTCTTCATTACAACAAGTACAATTTTAGTAATGTATCACCATCTCTTAAGATACAATCTATGCTCTCTTCACCCCCGTATCTCATCTCTTAACTAAAAACAAAATCCAAAATCTGTTCTTCATCAGCAGAAGTCCAGTAAGGGTTACCAGATTTAACTATCTAAACCTTGATGGAATAAATGACACCTGTATGTCTTCCCTCTACTTTTAACTATCTAGAGTTTTAAGTCCTTCAAATGAAGCCCCAGAATTTGATTTCTTGACATCTTCTTTATTTTTTATCCGTGAGAACACTAAGATCTCATTTGTACTTCCAATAAGAAAAAAGTTATCCATATCTTTTGGCTAAGACGCTGAGCTTGTCGATTGAAAGGTCGGCAGTTCAGCGGTTCGAATCCCGAGTGCCACCTAACGGGGTGAGCTCCCTTAAACACTTAAACCTTAAACACTCAAAGAGCCATTTGGACCTGTTTCCCACAGAAAAGAAAACACCGGGAGTCACAAAACACAAGTAGAAAAATAGGGACCACCTTTGGTGGGAAGATAACAGCGTTCCATGCGTCTTTGGCGTTGAGTCATGCCAGCCACATGACCACGGAGACGTCTTCGGACAGCGCTGGCTCTTCGGCTTTGAAACGGGGAGGAGCACTGCCCCCTAGAGTCGGGAATGACTAGCACATATGTGCGAGGGGGAACCTTTACCTTTACCTGTTATTTTTCTGATTTAGTAGTGGTATATCTCCTTTAGGCAAGAAAACCGCATACTGGTTTGTTTGTAGGTCCAAGAGATCTTTTTCCATATCCTTCTCATGGCTTTGTCATACTTTTATCCACTTTCAAATTAATTTCCAAACTTATCCGGAATATCTTATTCCTCTTCTGCGATTTCCTTAACCTTCCATCTATCCATTATGTCGTATAGTTTTGAAGGCTGGTTTTCAAAACTACCCATAGAAAACTCGCTGTTCAATATTTTGCGCCATTCTTCGTTCAATTATATTCTTTATTATCCTCTAGCTCCCTCTAGTCTCCAATCCTCAAAGTCCCGTTCTATTTCTTTTTTCACTTAAACAAACCAGCCAGTTTGCCAAAGGAGGCATTAATTAATTAATCTAATTAATTTAAAACTATAATTCTAGCCCCCTTGATTCGTGGTCCACGGCCCAAAATCTGTATTCTTAAGCACGCTTTTGCCGTTTGTTTTAAAAAGTCCTGTTTTCCCCCCAATTTTAAAAATCGTATTTAAAATTCTTTTTTCCCAAGAAAACCACTCGCCGAGTGATTGCAGTAATACTCGCTGTTTTAATATTTTCCAAAGCAATAAATACAATTCCAAATGGTTAAGAAACGAGGTTTGATTTTTGTGTCCTTAAAAATGGCTGCGTTAAGGACTGTGAGCGTAGATGGTTTCTCCCTTGATCGCCACTATTTAAGGGGCTGCCACAAAGAAGGGGGGGTCAACCTATTCCCCAAAGCCCCTGAAGGCAGGACAAGAAGAAACGGGTGGAAACTCATCAAGCAGAGAAGCAACCTAGAACTAAGGAAAAACTTCCTGACAGTTAGAACTGGAAGTTGGCAAATGGGCTGTTTTTGGCCTCCAGAAGTCCTCCGGGGGGCCTCCAGGAGGGTGGGGAAGGCTGTTTTCACCCTCCCCAGACTCCTAGAAAGGCTCTGGAGCCTGGGAAGAGCAAAAAAAGGGCCTTCCAGGCCCATCAGAAGTTGGACCGTTGGACCAAATGGACCGTTTCCAACCTCCTGGGGGCCTCCGGGGGGAAGGCCATTTTCGCCCTCCCTAGACTCCTAGAAAGGCTCTGGAGCCTGGGGAGAGACAAAATTTGATAATAAATAAATAAATAAATAAATAAATAAATAAATAAATAAACAAACAAATAAATAAATAAATAAATGGGCCTTCCCCACCACCACCCCCAGGCCCTCTGGAGGCAGGAAACAGCCTGTTTCCCTACTTCTGGCGGGCCCAAAAGGCCTGAAAATTAACTGGCCGGTGTGCGCATGCCCACCGGAGCTGAGCTCACATGCCCACCGATATGGCTACGCGTGCCACCTGTGGTCACCTGTGGCACGCATGCCATAGACTCGCCCTCACAGATCTAGTCCAACCCCCTGCTCACGCAGGAGATCTATACTAGGGATTCGAACCGCCGAACTGCCGACCTTTCAGATCGACAAGCTCAGTGTCTTAGCCACTGAGCCACCTAGTCAGGCACTAGGTTGAAGGCTTCATTCCCACAACTCATTTGTGCTAATTTTCTACGGACACCACTCTCAACTCTGACTTCAGTATCTGTCAAAAAAAAAAAAGAAAGAAAGAAAGAAAAAGAAGAATGGGCCTACCTTTCATAAAGCTCTTGACGAAGGGACATATTTCTGGAGTGGACACTGCTGTCAATTTCTAAACGATCTAAAATGTAGCTTGGGATAGAATAACCTTCTTCCAGCAGAAGAGCCAAATTAAAGAATCCCTGGAAGAGATAAAATGATGGTTGATTGGACAATCTTGCTGGGAAGATTCCTGCAGAGAATAGAATAGAATAGAATAGAATAGAATAGAATAGAATAGAATAGAATAGAATAGAATAGAATAGAATAGAGTAGAGTAGAGTAGAGTAGAGTAGAGTAGAGTAGAGTAGAGTAGAGTAGAGTAGAATAGAATAGAATAGAATAGAATAGAATAGAATAGAATAGAATAGAACAGAACAGAACAGAACAGAACAGAACAGAATAGAATAGAATAGAATGGAATACTGGACTAAAGAGTAGAGTAGAGTAGAGTAGAGTAGAGTAGAGTAGAGTAGAGTAGAGTAGAGTAGAGTAGAGTAGAGTAGAGTAGAGTAGAGTAGAACAGAACAGAACAGAACAGAATAGAATATTGGAATAAAGAGTAGAATAGAGTAGAGTAGAGTAGAGTAGGGTAGAGTAGAGTAGAGTAGAGTAGAATAGAATAGAATAGAATAGAATAGAATAGAATAGAATAGAATAGAATAGAATAGAATAGAATAGAATAGAATAGAATAGAATAGAATAGAATTCTTTATTGGCCAAGTGTGATTGGACACACAAGGAATGTGTCTTTGGTGCAAAAGCTCTCAGGGTACATACAAGCACCAAGTGATAAATCACGATCCTAATCATAAAATACAATCATCATCGTCTCTTTAATGATCCCATAATTCCTTACGGGATGGAGTCTGGGCAACTGAATGTTTACTGAGTGTTTACTGGCCGGCTGCCCTTCCTGTCGCCAATGCGGAGTTATATTCAGCCGATATAATTTCAACGTGCCCAGAGAGCAAAATATCGGCCTCTACCTAGGATCGAACTCCCAGCCTCCTGATTGTGAGGAGAGAGCTCCACCTCTCTAGGCCACCGCACCACTCAATCATAAAACACAGTCATCATGAATTATAAGATAAAACAGGAGGAAAACTCATGTTAGTTTTCCGCGATAGATAAGATAAGAAATTGGTATTAATGTAACTTTTATAGATGAAAGAATTTACGCGTTTGAATTGTGATAGATGGTATATACTTATATAGCAAAAAGGAACTGTATTCGTTGCAAGGTCAAAACTTGACGGAAATGTCTAAACTGGAAAAGTCACACCGTGTCCAATGTTTTTAATTGTATTATTAATTAAAAAAAATTAAAAAAAATCAATGATAAGATAAAACAATTTGAACTGAGCCAGCTGCTTTGCCGACTCTTTCTCGTGGCGGCTGCTTAGCTCCAACAACGGCTTCCTGTTGGGGCCCTAAGGAGCCCGGGCGGGCAGGCGAGGAGTAGCTGGGAAGGGAGGGGCGAGTAGAGGCCGGCGAGGCGCCCCTCGACGCGAGTGACATCGAGTTGGCCACGCCCACCCAGTCACATGACCACCTAGCCACTCCCACCTAGCCGGTCATTAGGCAGATCATATTCGTGGTCCGCGGGATTTAAAATTATGAATTTAGTGGTCCCTGAGGTCCGAAAGGTTGGAGAGCCCTGCCGTAGAGGGCAAGCTTGAACAGAGTCTTATGTCGTTTTGGAAGATTTCATATTTGATATGCTGGCCACCTGCTACTCACCTGTGCATCTTCCCTCAATGCTGCTTGTGCATACATACGGGCTGACATATCCAAGCTCTTGCTCTGGTTCTGATAGCCATAGTAGTAAAAATCTCCTACTTTCAAGTAAACTGCGGAAAGAAAGACCTGTGTTAAAACTTGGGAAGTGTGCTTTTGCTCATTATATTTAATTGAACAGATTAGGATTTAAAAACGGATGCCTGGAACTTCAGCACCAAATGCTTTTAATCGGTTACTGCTTCTTATTCAATGCTGGGTGATGCACAAACTCCACCAACCCCCGGATTATATTCCATGGCTCCACAATACTCACAGGGCACCATTTTGTAATCTGCTGGTATACATACCGAATGAGGGAGCGTTGCTTTGAGAAACGGACAAATTATAGTACTTCCAAACGCAGTCAGCGGCGAAGTATCTTTTTGTCAAGTTCTGGGAAGTAATAATGGGGAAAAAATGACTTAGGAGAAAGGAGGAGGAGGAAGAAGAAAAAGGGGAAAGAGGAGGAGGAAGAGGAGGAGGAGTAAGAAGAAAGAGGAGGAGGAGGAGAAAGAGAAGAAGGAGGAGAAAGAAGATAAAGGTGAAAGAGAAGGAGGAAGAGGAAGAGGAAGAGGAAGAGGAGAAGGAAGAGGAAGAGGAGGAGGAGGAGGAGAAAGAAAAGAGAAGGAGGAGAAAGGAGGAGGAGGAGGAAGAGAAAGGAGGAGAAGAAAGGAGGAAGAAGGAGAAAGAGGAAGGAGGAAGGAGGAGGAAGAGAAAGGAAAAAAGGAGAAAGAGGAGGAGGAGAGGAAGAAGGAGGAGGAGGAAGAGAAGGAGGAGAAAGGAGGAGGAGGAGAAAGGAGGAGAAAAAAGGAGGAAGAAGGAGAAAAAGGGAGGAGGAAGGAGGAGGAAGAGAAAGGAGAAAAGGAGAAAGAGGAGGAGGAGAGGAAGAAGGAGGAGGAGGAAGAGAAGGAGGAGAAAGGAGGAGGAGGAGAAAGGAGGAGAAAAAAGGAGGAAGAAGGAGAAAGAGGAGGAAGGAGGAAGAAGAAAAGGAGAAAGAGGAGGAGGAGAAAGGAGGAGAAGAAAGGAGGAAGAAGGAGAAAGAGGGAGGAGGAAGGAGGAAGAAGAGAAAGGAGAAAAGAAGAAAGAGGAGGAGGAGGAGAGGAAGAAGGAGGAGGAGGAAGAGAAGGAGGAAGAGAAGGGGAAGAAAGGAGGAAGAAGGAGAAAGGAGGAGAAGAAAGGAGGAAGAAGAAGAAAATGGGAAAAATTACTCACCGGCTTCTCTTCACAGAGATGTGCTAAATTTGTCTGTGATACCTCAATTCCTGTCTCTGCAGAAAGGATATAATACAGTAGAGCTTCATTCCTAAAATGAAAGAGAAGAGCAAAAACAAACAAACAAACAAAAGCCCAATTAAACTAAAATAAAGAAACTTCAGAAAATGTTGGAAATATTGCCTTTCCATCAAAACAGCCCAGAGAATCAGAAGATCTTCACAGGGTGGAAATGAGTGAGCTTTAAAAGCATTTCCAGAGGTACCGAGAAAGTCACTTGGCTACGGCAAAGCCCAGAAATTATTATTTTTTTTTAAAAAGATGAAAATTGCAGCTTTAAATTAATACATACTACAGGACTACTGTAGTCCTGGACTTAGGACCACAATTGAACCCAAAATTTCTGTTGCTAAGTGAGACACTTGTTAAGTGAATGTTGCCTCATTTTACGGCCTTTCTTGCCACCGTTGTTAAGCGAATCGAGGCAGTTGTTCAGTTAGCGACATGGCCGTTCGGTGAATCTGGCTTCCCCGGTGATTTTGCTTGTCGGAAGGGCGCCGAAAAAGGATCACATGACCCCGGGACCAGGGGTTCTCTGTCTGGGTGCTGGGTGGGTTTTGCCATGGTGGGCGTGGCCTAGTCAGCCTCCTGCACCACGGGGGTGGGGCGCTTTTTGCCCTCCCCGGGCTCCAGAGGCTTTCCTCGAGCCTCCGGAGGGGGGGGCAAAAACAGCCTCCCCAGGCTCCAGAGGCTCTCTGGAGGCTGCCCATTTCCAGCCTTCCTGAACTTCCGGTAGACCCGTTTTTTCGCCTTCCCTGAGCCTCCGCGTGCGCCCTGCATTTACCTGCATCCAAAATGGGCCACGTGGGGACTCCTGGGAGGGGAAGGGTGGGATGGGCGGGGCCATCCAGGAGTGGGATTTGGGGGTTCTCCGAACTGCACAGAATCTTAGCTAGAGGTTCTCCCGAACCCTTGCGAACCCCCAGCAGCCCCACCCCTGCCCGGGACACTGCAACCGTCATAAATATGAATCAGTTGTCGAGCATCTGGATTTTTGATCACGTGATCCTGGGGATGCCGTAACGGTCGTTAAGTGTGAAAAATGGCCATAAGTCACTTTTGTTCAGTGCCGTTGTGACCCCGAATGGTTACTAAACGAACTGTTGTAAGTTGAAAACTACCTGTAAGATGAGGACCTGAGGACATCACTTGCAATATTAATTACCGTAAAAAAAAAAAAACATTTTTACAGGTGTAAAAATCCACAACAAACTTACCAAGACAATTCGAGGTATGCTTTGAGTGCTTTTTGGATGACGTGGCCTAAATGGCCATTCTTTTCTGCCACGTATTTTGCCCAGCTGCAAATGAAAGGAGTAACATTAAAAAAAAGAGAGAGAAGCACCGTTATGGCTGAATCGTTTCTCCTTTCTCTTTACTTACAGCACTGCCTTTTCCGGATCCCGGGGAAAACTTGGTAGATTTCCTGTAATGTAAAACTGGGAGCAGTGTAAAGTCCCTTCCATATGACCTTTTTCTGCAGCTTTATAGAAATAGCCAGCAGCCATAGTCTGCCAAAGAGGGGGGAAAAAATAAACGATGTTGCACAGGTATGCATAACTTCCATCTACATTGTTTAAGAAAAAAAAAACAAAATAGTTTAACGCAGGTTACTAGCTGCCATGAAACACATTTAAGTGCAGGTAAATCCTCGAATCGCGACCATAATTGAACCCAAAATTTCCGTTGTTAAGTGAGGCATTTGTTAAGTCAATTTTGTCCCGTTTTATGACTGCAATAGTTAGTCACACGGTTGTTAAGTGTGTCTGGCTTCCTGTTGTGGCCCGCCAGCGGCCTGTGCAGATAGTAGCTGATTCCGACAGCGAGGAGGCTGGTGTGGTGCTGCGCCAGCAGCCTGTGCAGCTGGCACTCGAGTCGGACAATGAGGAGGCTGGAGAAGATGTGGTGCCAGAGGCAGGGATTCAGCCAGGGCCTTCAGAAGCTCCCTTAAGTGAAGAGGACGAAGAGGAGGAGCCTCTTCTCAATGCACGGGCGCGCAGAGCTGCCAAAAGGCAGGAGTGGCTCCTCAGGAGGAGGTCTCCTCGAGAGTAAGGCTTGGGGCTAATTGGCCACTCCCTTAGCCTATTTAAGGAAGAACGCCGATTGCAGCAAGTTGTAGGGAAAAACTTTAGTTCACTCTCCTTCGCGTCTGGATTCCCTGCAAAATTGCTTCTGGGCTTTCTGCCAACCCTAGTAAGACTGTGATTACCTTATCTTAGGATTCTTGTAGGCTGTTAAGAAAGTTTATTAACAGCCTTTGTTTTGAAAAAGACTGACTTATTTTAGTAAATTAAGTTTTGTACAAACTTTGCGTGTGCTGCGTTCTTTGGGGTCTGTAGCTGGGGCAGAACACTTCCTCGTTGACTTTGCTTGTCAGAAGGTGAAGGTCCCGGAGGCCCAAAGGTTTAGGGGACTGTTGTTTTACGGGACAACGAAAAGTTCACACTTACCCGATTTCTACCCGTGACTCCTGGATACAGTCCATCTAAATGCAAAACCCCAAGGTTGAAGGTGGCCTCTGGGCTACCCATAGCTTCGGCTTTTAGCCAGTATTTGGCTGCTTTGACATAATCTCTTTTAAAGTTGTGATAATACCAGCCAAGGCCGTTGACTGCCTGGGGGAATCCCTGTTAGGACAGGGGGGAAAAAAATCAAGAAAAGATGTAATGGACAAAGTGCCACGCAGGTTAGGTCAGGGGTCAGCAACCTGCGGCTCTGGAGTCGCATGTGGCTCTTTCACCCCTCTGCTGCGGCTCCCTGTCGCTCAAAATATGCGTCACAGCCGCCAATGTGTGACACCCACCGGCACGTGATTTATTGAGCTTTTCAACCCCCGGTAGGCCAACCATGGATAAATCCAAGAAAAGAAAAGTTTCAGAAGAAAACAGAACATTTAATTCAACTACATATGCTAGTTTTGTGGCCGCTCAAGGAATAGTCAGGCACGGGAAGGTTTTGTGGCTCCCGGTGTTTTCTTTTCTGTGGGAAATGAGTCCAAATGGCTCTTTGAGTGTTTAAGGTTGCAGACCCCTGGGTTAGGTAAAGATAAAGGTTCCCCTCACACATATGTGCTAGTCGTTCCTGACTCTAGGGGGCGGTGCTCATCTCTGTTTCAAAGCCAAAGAGCCAGCGCTATCCGAAGACATCTCCGTGGTCATGTGGCCGGCATGACTCAATGCCAAAAGCGCACAGAACGCTGTTCCCTTCCCACCAAAGGTGGTCCCTATTTTTCTACTTGCGGGTTTTTTTTTTATGTGCTTTCGAACTGCTAGGTTGGCAGAAGCTGGGACAAGTCACGGGAGCTCACTCAGTTATGCGGCGCTAGGGATTCGAACCGCTGAACTGCCGACCTTCTGATCGACAAGTTCAGCATCTTAGCCACTGAGCCACCGCATCCCCAGGAGGGGTAGGCTGTTCTGGGTTCGCAGGGGTTTGGGAGAACCTCTAGCTAAGATTCTGTGCAGTTGGGAGAACCCCCAAATCCCACTCCTGGCTGCCCTGTCTCAGGAGTCCCCACACGGCCCGTTTTGGATGCAGGTAAGTGAAGGGCACATGCGGAGGCTTGGGGAGGGTGAAAAACAGACCTACTGGAAGTTCGGGAAGGGCAGAAACGTCCGGCCTCCATTTCCAGCCTCCAGAGGGCCTCCGGAGCCTTGAGAGGCTGTTTTCGCCCTCTCGGAGGCTCAAGGAAAGCCCCCGGAGCCTGGGGAGGGCAAAAACGCCGTGGTGCAGGAGGCCAACTAGGCCACGCCCACCATAGCCATGCCCACCCAGCAACCAGGCAGAGAACCCCTTGCTAAAATTTTGGAAGCCCACCCCTGGTCCCCACGCAGGTTAGTGTGCAAAAAACGAAATTTAATGGGGAGAAAAGCAAGGTGTTACACATAGGCCGGAAAAACTGATCTTGTGTCTAGAAGATTCTACCTTTGAAGAGGCTTTTTTCATCAGCTGGAAAGCAAGGCGCCTGTTCCTTTTCACTCCTTGGCCCTAAACGACGAGAGAGAAAAAAAAAACCAATAATTTCCAAATGTCTTAAGCCTCTTTTGTTTTTTTTTCATATAGAACCCTCTTTTGCGACCTTCTGATAGGCAAAGTCAAGGAGGAAGCCAGATTCAATTGTGTTACTAACTTGAGCAATTCCCTTAACATCTGCAGCGAGAAAGTTCGTAAAAGGGTGAGGGGCAAAACTCGCTTAACGAGTGTCTCGCTTAACAACAGAAATTTTGGGCTCAGTTGTAGTTGTAAGGCGAGGACTACTGTTGTGGCTCCGTTACCTGAGCCTGTGTCATCGGCAGGAGAGGACTCCGAGAGTGAAGGAGAGGAGTTGGCAAGGCCTCCCTCTCCAGGACCCTCCTCTCTGGCAATGCCTTCGGTGTCCGCCGAAGGGCAAGAGATAGGGCCGGGGCCAAGCATGTCCACGCAGCCACAGGTGGACAGTGATGAGGGAAATGAGTCTTGGTTGGATCCATGCCAGCGTCGCAGAGATAAGCGCGCGCAACAGAAGAAAAGGCGTGCCCAAGATTAGGCTGAGTCACTGGACCACACCCCACAGGGTATAAAAGGGAGCGTGGTGGCCAGTCAAACCTTGTGACAAACAAAGCTGAAAGCTTCCACGCCATTCTGCATTGCCGGACTTTTGCTATAGACTTTGCTGGATTATCTCTGGACTTGATTGACTCTGTAATTATTGAGCTGTTTCCTTTGATGTACCAGAAGTGGGGAGAAGTTATCTCTCCTCTTCGTAAGTAATAAACTCTTGGCAGGCAGCCACTAGGTTGTTGCCAAGTTCCGTTAACATAAGGAAAAGGATTTTGCTGGCTGGTTTGGTCTTTAACTCTTGAATGTCTGTTGGTGTGTGTGCGTGTGGGACGGGGACAGAACAACTACCTGGAAGAGAAATGCAGTAGGACCGACTTTGAAGGGAAAGGGACATCTCTTCCCATTTAACCGCAGTTCATCCTGCAGGAGAATGTTAAGTTTTGCACTGGTTTTGCTGAATAGCTAATACAGCTTGCTTCAATTCTTTGGATAACTAAGTCATTTTTGAGTGATGGAGCACAGAACCTCAAAATACAGTAGTGGCCAAAATTGTGGAAACCTTTTGGGGAAAAGTGTATTTTTCTAAAACGAGCTAATAACACCACTTTTTTTTTTTTTGGAGTAGTGCCATAAAATTATATCTCAATGGAAAGATCATTGAATCAAGAATGTCATGCAATAACTTTTATGAAGGATTTGCTATTAGAATAGCAGTTATAGGATAAAGAAGAAAAGGGAAACACGTAGAGATATACAAAAATGATCCCCATGTCAGTGAATACTTGCCTTCCATCCTTCCTCCCTCCCTCCCCTCTTTTACTTCCTTCCTCCCTCCCTCCGTCTTTTTCCCTCCTTCTTTCCTTCCTCCCTATTTTCCTTCCTTCTTTCCTTACTTCCTTCAATCTTATCTTCCTTTCTCCTTCCCTCTATTCCTTTCTTCCCTCTTTTCCTTCCTTCTTTCCTTCCTTTCCTTCCCTTTCTCCTTCCTTCCTTCCTTCTTATTTACCCTTCCTTCCTTCCTTCCTTCCTTCCTCTTGTTTACCCTTCCTTCCTTCCTCTTGTTTACCCTTCTTTCCTTCTTGTTTACCCTTTCTTCCTCTTGTTTACCCTTTCTTCTTCTTGTTTACCCTTCTTTCTTTCCTTCCTCTTGTTTACCCTTCCTTCCTCGTTTACCCTTCTTTCCTTCTTGTTTACCCTTCTTTCCTTCTTGTTTACCCTTTCTTCCTCGTTTACCCTTTCTTCTTGTTTACCCTTCCTTCTTTCCTTCCTCTTGTTTACCCTTCCTTCTTCTTGTTTACCCTTCTTTCCTTCTTGTTTACCCTTCCTTCCTCTTGTTTACCCTTCTTTCCTTCTTGTTTACCCTTTCTTCTTGTTGTTTACCCTTCCTTCCTTCCTTCCTTCCTTCCTGTTTACCCTTACTTCCTTTTTGTTTCCTTCCTTCCCCTCATTCCCACCTTCCTCGTAATAACATTACACAATTTAAAAAGAATAGGAAAATATTAATTTTTTAAAAAAAATTTAACACTTACCTTGAATAACACAATGGAATAGTCGAATAAAGAAACGGGATCTTTGTTTTCTAAAGCGCCCTTTGCATACCATTCTACAGCTTTCTTTAGATTTTTTTCTACTCCTTGCTGGCCCCAGAAAAGCATTTGTCCCAGGCGTTGCTAAAGCAAGACAAAATGTTCCAAAATTAGCCCTGCAAAGGTAGACCGGAAAAAAACCCAGTACCAGCAGCAACTTAGTTCTATCTTTATTACAAGGTTATATTCACAGAAGTTCAAAAGCCAAAATATTTTTCCCCTCCTTTTTCTTTTAATCTCTGGAAAACTAGGGAGAGTCTTCTCCCCTCGTTCTTTGGCTGAGACATCTTTCACACAGCCGGTTGTCCACTTCACAGTCCTCCCTTCAGTCTTCCAAGTTCATTTCCACCTACCATTACAGAAATGTATAAATCGGTTATGGATTCTACCAATGTACAGGTAATCCTTCTACTTACGACCACACTGGAGCCCAAATAACAGAAGAACAGAGTTGGAAGGGACTTTGGAGGTCTTCTAGTCCAATCCTTTGCTCAGGCAGGAAACCTTACACCATTTCAGACAAATGGTTGTCCAACCTCTTCTTGAAAATCTCCAGTGTTGGAGCATTTACAACTTCTGGAGGCAAGTTGTTCCACTGGTTAATTGTTCTAACTGTCTGGAAATTTCTTCTTAGTTCTAGGTTGCTTCTCTCCTTTAATTTAATTTAATTTAATTTAATTTCCAATTTATATACCGCCCTTCTCCCTGAGGACTCAGGGCGGTGTACAGCCAAGATAAAAAACATAAAATACAAATATTAAAACATTTAAAAATATATATAAATTTTGGCCCGAAAGTTAAGAGTCCTTGATTAGTTTCCATCCGTTGCTTCTTGTCCTGCCTTCAGGGGCTTTGAAGAATAGGTTGACTCCCTCTTGTCCAGTCCCCTAATCATCTTTGTTGCTCTTCTCTGCACTCTTTCCAGAGTCTCCACATCTTTTTTTTTATATCATGGTGACCAAAACTGGATGATGTATTCCAAGTGAGGCCTTACCAAGGCATTATAAAGTGGTATTAACACTTTATGTGATCTTGATTCTATCCCTCTGTTTTAGCCAGTCTATAACTGTGTTGGCTTTTTTGGCAGCTGCTGTACCCTGGGAAGCATCTTCTTGTTTCAGTCCTACGTTCACTCAATTTCGGCGAGTGAAAGTAAGTACCGTTTAATTCAGCTCAATACAGAAAAATATATATATCTTTTTTTTTTTGTTTTAAGGTACAGACTTCGTTTTACCTGTGCGGCCGAATCTCCTCTGACTGCTTCATGTTTCAACCACATAAAAATATCCCCATTTTCTTTGGTCAAGGCTTTTAATAAGTCGCCGTCCTGAAGCCTGATTGCTTCAACCAAGGCCTGAAAAACAAAGGAGGAAGAGAGAGAGAAAACACCGTAAACCGGTCGCGGCAAAATATCCTTCTTTCTACGGAAGTTGAAGCTACTCGTTCTGCAAACTCCGGAGGAAATGAGACAGGTCCCAACCCAGAAGAAGTGCTGCCATGAGACTTCCAATGTCCTCCCTTTTGAGCTTCAGCATGTGGCTTCCCATATGAATACTCGGTTAGTGTTTGGATGGGAGGCTGTTTAGCAATTCCAGGGGTTTAGGGAAGAGAGAGACAGAGAGGGACAGAGAGAGACAGAGAGACAGGGGGAGAGAAGGGGGAGAGGGAGAGAGAGGGAGAGAGAGATAAGTGATAGAGATGATACAGAGATAGATAGATAGATAGATAGATAGATAGATAGATAGATAGGAGAGAGAAAGAGAGAGAGATGAGAGAATGATACAAAGATAGAGATAATGAGAGAGAGAGAGAATGAGAGATGAGAGAGGATACAGAGAGAGAGATACAGAGAGAGACAGAGAGAGACAGAGAGACAGGGGGAGAGAATGGGGAGAGGGAGAGAGAGATAAGTGATAGAGATGATACAGAGATAGATAGATAGATAGATAGATAGATAGATAGATAGATAGATAGGAGAGAGAAAGAGAGAGAGATGAGAGAATGATACAAAGATAGAGATAATGAGAGAGAGAGAATGAGAGATGAGAGAGGATACAGAGAGAGAGAGAGAAAGAGAGAGATACAGAGAGAGAGAGATGAGAGAGAATGATACAGAGATAGAGAGATGAGAGAGAGAGATGAGAGAGAGGATACAGAGAGAGAGAAATAGAAAAATAGAAAGATAAAGAGATAAGAATGATACAGAGATAGATAAATAATAGACAGAGAGAGAGAGAGAGAGAGATGAGAGAGAGAGGATACAAAGAAAGAGAGAGAGAGAGAGAGAGATAAGAGATACTGAGATATAGAGAGATACAGAGAGAAAGAAAGAGAGTGAGAATGATACAGAGATAGATAGCTGAGAGAGAGAGAGATGAGAGAGAGAGAGAGGATACCGAGAGAGACAAATAGAAAAATAGAACGATGAGAGATATGAGAGAGAGAGAAAGAGAGATGAGAGATGAGTGGGGGAGAGGGAGAGAGGGGAGGGAGGGATTATTTCCTTGACATTAATAGTGGATTGTTATGGATATGTTTGACTTTTCAGTCTAGCCTAAAGCCCTGGAATTGCCAAACAGCCTCGCATCCAAATATTAACCAAGTTCAAACCTTCTTAGCTTTTCAAAACCAATTGCAGATGTTTTGGTGCTGCCATCTAGCCAGGCAACATAATACAGGTGGTCTCAACTTACAACAGTCTCTTTAGTGACCGTCCAAAGTTACAACGGCACTGAAAAAAGTGACTTACGGCCCTTTTTCACACTTACGACCGTTGCGGCATCCCCCATGCGCACAAAATTCAGATGCTTGGCCACTGATTCATACTTATGACGGCATCAGGCGATCCCCTTTTGCGATCCTTCTGACAAGGAAAGTTCAACGGGGAAGCCAAATTCGCTTTACCCCCAGATTATTAACTGAAGAACTGCAGTGATTCGCTTAACAACTGGGGCCAACAAGGTTGTAAAATGGGTCGAAACTCACTGAATGAATTTCTCAGCCACAGAAAGTTCGGGCTGAATTGCGGTCGTAAATCCAGGATTACTTGATTATATTTTAGCAGTGCGTTGAAAGAATCAGCCAGGAGAATATGTCCGCCAGAGACAATCCCTTTACCTGATCTCCTCCTCCGGATTGTTGATCACGGGGTGTCTTTAGAGCCACGTCACTATAGTAAGCATACGAGACCTCAAGATCCTGGGGATAATTATTAATCCCTCGGTAGTGCTTATAGCCAAGATTCATCAAAGCCAGCCGGTCCCCTTCCTGAGCTGCAACCAAGCTGTAGAGCAATCCCTGCAAAGGATGAGACAGTTGGCAATCGAATCAGCACTGGGGAAGCCTTTGGGTCAACGCCAGAAAAGTAGCATTATATCATATTGCCAATCGCAAATAAACAAGAGCAAATTCAGAAACGTGGAAGGAGGAGCCCAGTCGAGATGGAAGGCACCCTGGAGGTCTTCTAGTCCAGTCCCTTGCTCAAGCATTTCTCAACCACTTGACTCAGTTTCCCCATCCTTCCGAGGTCAATAAAATGAGAATCCGGATTGTTGGGGGCAAGAGGCTGACTTTGTAAACCGCTTAGAGCGGGGAAGGGGGATATAAATCTAAGTTCCATTGCTAGTCCTTCCTTCCTTCCTCCCTCCCTCCCTTCCTCCTTTCCTTCATTTTCATTTTCTTCTTTTTCATTTTTTCCTCCTTCCTTCCTTCCTTCCTTTTCCTTTTCATTTCCTTCCTTTTCATTTTTTTCTCCCTCCCTCCTTCTTTCCTTTTCTTCCTTTCCTTCCTTTTCTTTTTTCCTCCTTCTGTCCTTCCTTCCTTCATCCTTTCCTTCCTTTTCTTCTTCCTTCCTTTTCATTTTTTCCTCCTTCCTTCCTTTTCCTTTTCATTTCCTTCCTTTTCATTTTTTCCTCCCTCCCTCCCTCCTTTCTTTTCATTTTCCTTTCCTTCCTTTTCATTTTTCCTTCCTTCCTTCCTTCCTTCCTTCCTTTCTTCCTTCCTTCCTCCCTCCCTCCCTCCCTCCCACCCACTGGTTAGAATGCAGTACAACTCGATCCCTTCTTGTGACCTTCTGACAGGCAAATTCAACGGGGGAATTTGCGTGTCAGATGTGCTACTAACTTAACCCCTGAGGAGATTCACTTGACAACAATGGAAAGCAAGTTTATAAAATGGGTCAAAATTCCCCTAACAAAGTTCTCACTTGCCAACGGAGATTTGGGGCTCAATTGTGGCGTAAGTCGAGGACTAC